CCAATGAAGACGCGATCGTGGTGCTCTACGCCGTTACACACGCCAGTGACAGCAGCCAGTGACAACAACATACAAGCATGACTGCGAATGTTCGTAAAATTTCGCCTCCCTCATGAATGCCTCCCGCCCCTCCTGCTGACGCCAGGGCAGCACCACCCCGGACGCCGCCAAGAGCTCGCAGATGGCCGCGCCAGCCTTTACAGAGCAGCCCGAACACACAGAGGCACTTCTTGCGTCGGGCGGCTAGGCAGAGAGACTGCGCTGGCGAGTAAGGGACACACCGACACACATGACAAGGACACATCGACACACACAGACGCACGGACACACAGACACACACACACACACTTACAAATTTTAAGCCGGCGGCACAGATGAACCGCAGGCGCGGTCATACATACACACCGACACACGGAAACACAGACACGCAGACACAAACACACACACACAGACACCACACAAACACACACACACACACACTTTTTCCCCGTCAGCGACTAGGCAGAGTTACTGCGATGGCGGAAGGGCAAATGTTGGACGAACAATTGCAAATTAAGTCGCGATGCACGGGGGGAGGAGGGGAGGCGCCCGACGACGGCGGGGAGGTGGAAGCCGGGCCCGCTCACAGCGGGGCCAAGCGGCGGCAGGGGGCGGCGTCGGGAGGGGGGCCTAGCGGCGGCGCGGTGGCAGCCGCGGGGGTAGGGCAGCCAGGCGACTAACGGAGGTGGGTGCCTTGGGTGGGCGTCAGTGCCCAGCGCAGGCTGGTGACTGAGTAGAACTCGGAAACGCAAGTCATATCGCGGCAAATGTACGCATGGCCACCTCCTGTATGCACGGAAATGGGCTCTGCTACTCCTGACAGGCCGTGCGGTAGGGCTGGCAACGCCCCGCTGAGTCTCAAGAACATCCTGTTGTACCTCTATTCCTAAGTCGGGCCTGTCCCTCTACAGGGGGATTTTGGACGACAAATTTAAAATACTAAAAAAATATCCCCAAAATAATCAAACAATGCACAAACAATAATCCACTAACTATTATTTGACTATTTTTGAATATCCCACCTGTAGAGGGACAAGCCCATAACTCTATTCCTCTTCTTCCAGGTCCGTCAACTAAGCGCAAGGAGTCCCTGAACACAATTGTAACATCGGTGGCCAGAGCCTGAATAACGGCCGAAGCCCTAAAGTCGAAAAGCGTCACTTGCCAGATGGGTGAACCCACAGGTTCAAACTCTGCGGCAAAGGCACGGGCTGAAACGTCCACGGACGCACCCAAACAATGCAACATTGGCAGCATCAACGAAAGAACTTTACGACTGAAGCGGTCTCTTGCAAATGATACACGGGGAGGTGCTGTGGGGCAACCTCATGGGACCCGTATGGTGCACCACCGAGGGACATGGACAGGAATGAAAAACATGCTGACGACGAGGTCGCCGAGCCTCCTATCAGCTCACGAGCGTGGCGACGGCTGCGCAGCTGGCATCGCGCAGGGAAGGTGAGGCTTATAGCTGGGCATGTTACACTCCAGGAGCCCACGAAGGTGGCAAGAGTTTCGCAGTTGGTACAGGTAGCGCAGGCGACGGTTGCCCAGTTGACAGCCTCGCTGGGGAGCGCGAGGTCTCGCTGGGATCTGCTTTGGGCTTCGCTTGGCTAGGCTTCCCAGGAGCCGACGGAAGTAACGACAATTGCACAGTCGGCAGCCCCGCGAGGGAGAGCGTGGGACACCGCTCCGCTGGGCCTCCCAGGAGCCCACGAAAATGGTGACGATTGCGCAGCTGGCGTCCCCACGAGGGAGCGCGAGGTCTCGTCGGAGTTCTTGCAACCCCACTTTGCTGGGCATCCCATCGACGAGCGCGTTCCACCACTCGCCAGGTAACTACTCGCAAATGGCTTGGATACGCCGCGGGGGATCTACGATACATTACATCAACACCGACATATGTTTTTGTTCGGAAGGTTGCGAGCAGGCACTTTGCGAGTAGCAGAACGCGCTCGGTGCTCCCAGGAGAGCACGAAAATGGTGGCCGTTGCAGGACTGACAGCGCCGAGAGGGAGCGCGAAGACTCGCCAGGTCATGCGCGGGACCCCGCTCTGCGAGGACCCTCAAGAGCCGACGAAACAAGGGCGACGGCTGCGCAACTCGCAGCCCCGCGAGGGAGCGCGACGTCCGATCTGGGACCCAGCGCCGCTGGGCCTCCCACGCGAGGGAGCGCGAGGTCCTCGTCGGAGTCTTCGTGGGAGCCCACTTCGCCGGGCCTCCCAGGAGCCCACGAGCTCGGGGACGGCTGCGCCGCTGGCCTCCCCACGACGAGGGAGCACGGGGCGGCCCCGAGGGGCTGCGCGAGGTCTCGCCTGGTGTCCGCGCGGGGGACCCCGCCCCGCTGGGCTCCGCAGGAGCCCGGCGAACGTGGCGACCGTTGCGCAGCTGGGTCTCGCGAGGGATCTCGGCTTGCGTGGGGCCCCACTCCGCTCGGCCTCCCTGGAGCCGGGGAACTGGCGGGGAAACTGGCCGGGACACTGGTCATAGCCCACCCCCCTGGGGGAGCTCGAGGGCGGAGGCGGGGGGGCGGGAGGGAGCACGGCTGGCCAGCTGTGCAGCAGCAGGGAGCAGGCGGGAGAGGGGGAGATCCGCGAGCAGTGCTTCATGCAAACCTTCAAAACGAGAACCCAGACAGACGAGGATAACGAACAACCGCCTGGGCTCCTTCTCCTCCACCTCCTCCTCCTCCTCCACCTCCTCCTCCTCCTCCTCCTCCTCCACCTCCTCCTCCTCCACCTCCTACTCCTCCTCCTCCTCCTCCTCCTCCTCCTCCTCCTCCTCCTCCTCCTCCTCCTCCTCCTCTTCCGCGGTCGTCTCATCATCATCCCTCCTCCCCTCACACCACCACCACCCTCTGAGCGAGTGTTCGTGCCCCCGCTTTCTCGAGACCAGGGCCCACCATATCCTGCAAGCGGGGCTGACGCGGGGAGCTGGGAGGAGATAGAGGGAGGAGAGGGCGAGAGGGATGGATAAAGGAGGAGGACGCTGCTCCTTCTCCTTCTCCTCCTCCGCCGCCTCCTCCTCCTTCTCCTCCTCCACTTCCTCCGCTCCCTCGTCCTCCTGGCCTCCGTCCACGCTGTCGTTCTCCTCATCATCCTTCTCTCCTGGGCCGTCATGGCGCCCCTCTGCTCGAATGGAGCCGATTCCCTCCAAGTCTTCGTCTGAACTCATTACAGGAGAGGTCCGTGAGTCGAAAGAGGGGGGAAGGCGAAAAAGGACAAGGTGAGGGAGGAGGGGGGAGTGGGAGAGGAGGGGGACGGATAGGGGACGAGAAGTAAGGGAGGGAAGAATTTGATCGAGGATCATGGAGGAAGGGAAGATCCGCCCGCCCGCTCACTCGCCCGCCTGTCGTCGTCGGGACCCGTCGCTTCCAAACTCGCAGTTATCGTCGTCGTCGTCGCCGTCGTGGATTTTCCGGAAGTGGTGGTGGTCTTACTCCTCGTCCAAGTCGGTGTCGGATGCGAGAGGGCGGGGAAGGGAAGTGAAGTGGAGTAAGACGATGGAAAATAATCAAGAAGGAGGAGGGAGGAGGCAAGAAAGCGGGACGAAGGGAGAGAGCGAGGAAATAGAGGCGAGAACAACAAGGGGGATGCAGAGTGGAGGGAAGGTGGAGAGATGGAACGACAAATAATAAGACTTAGAAAGAAAGATGGAGGGGGTCACGATGAGAGGAGCTTCCTCGTGTTCCGCCTTCTCCCTTCTCCTTCTCCTCCTCCCCCCCATTCTCTCCTGGACCTCACCTTGGCCGCCCTCCTCACTATCGTCCTGCTTACTTCTTCCTGCTCCTTCTTTTCAGATTTCCGAGCTCGCCCTTAGCGTTACATTGTTCGCCGTAGGGTTTCTGGGATCGCCCCAACAACAATTTCCAAGCTCGGGTTCGTTATGTCAGTTCCGGGATGGCAACATGATTTCCGAATTCGCCCGACAAATCGTCTGGATTCACTGCGGTCGATGCTCCGCGTTGGCGGGCGGAGTTCTGGGCTCGCGGAATTCCACATCCCTGGGTTGGCCAGTCCAGTCTCCTGGTTGGAACGTGGGTTTCTGGATCAATCGTCGGCCTCTCGACTCCTGGAACCCCTCCCGACCTCTTTAAAACTCTGACAGTCTCCTCAAGGCTTCCAACTTTGAAGGGGCCCTGGGACACACAAATAAATAGACACAACTAACCAGATTCCCCAGACTTCCCCAGATGTTCTAGGCTTCTGTCTTCCCCCCCACTTCCCATATTTCCAATTATCTTCCAGGATCGACGATTCATTGTGTCTGTGTGGTTTTCCCCTCCTGAAACCTGTCCAGGGCTTCCAAGCCCTCCAGCCCTGCCCAACCCGCAACGCTCCAAGCCTCCAAACCTCTGACACTTCGGCCCTCCAACCTGCAGCCTCCAACCTCCAAACATGCCACACTTCCACCCTCCCACCCTCCCACCCATCAACCCTTCCACCCTTCCACCCTCCAACCCTCCCACCCTCCCAACCCTTGAACCCTCCCACCCTCCCACCCTCCCACCCATCCACCCATCCACCCTCCCACCCTCCCACCCTCCCAACCCTCCCAACCCTTGAACCCTCCCAATCATCCAACACCCGCCAACCCACTACGACCCCCTCCAACATATCCATCCCCCTTCCAAACCTCTGCCACGGCTGCGAGCCGTGCCAAGAAGAAGTATGTACCGACCAGCGTGACCGTCGGGGGATGACCAGCACCAGTGAAGGTCGTCACGGCAGTCGGCCGGATGCGTGTGCCCATTTCTTTTCACTCGGATGCAACATGCATTACACCTGCCAGGACAGGAGACTGCGAATTTATTGTAATTTCAATGAATTAGAGCATTAGGGCTAACAGCAAGTGAACGCGCGGCGGGCATCCACAAAATCGAAAAAACTTTGCAATTGGATCAAACGGGGGCGCCGTGGTGCGCCAATCCCGAACTGTCGCATGTGGGAGTATCATTCACGTCATGCACCCTTCGCGGCCCACTGCCGCTTGGCCGGAGGGCTCCTGAGGTTGTCCGGCGCATCAAGTACCGCAAGCACCTCTTGGCATGAAGGTATCAAGTCCAGGCAGAAACGGGTCCTGGACCATGGGCTGACCCCAGGATCAGCTTTCCATCCTGGATTGCTTTTCTTGCTATCGCTCGGACGCCCGTTCCCCTTCTTGCATTTGCCCGTTTCGCGCGTCTCTTTTTTGTTTTGCAAGATGAACCAAGCTGCTCCTCGATGGTCCTCGCCGGGGAAAAACATGCAAACGTCCAAGCGATGTAACATTCTAACGGCTCAGATGCCCGGGAAGAGCCCTGGAAACCCGAAAACTAAAGAATTCCCTCAGGACCCGGTTCCCTCAGGACCCCTTTGCTTCATGCCGACGCCTTGCTGTCGACGGGGCTATGAGGTGCCGCCGGAAGCTCCGAGAACTCGACCTCCTGTGGAAGGGGCTCGATGTACACACCACTTCCCTTGGTTGCCCAAGGAGCTCGGCATATACGCGCCCCAGCTGCCCAACCTGTGGGACGCTGGAGGGTCTATTAACGTCCTGTGCCGAATTGAGTGGCCCCTTGTCCTTGGCTTCTGATTGATTTTTGAAAAGGTCTGAGAGGGCAAACTAGGCATGCGCAAGGCAGGCGTGCGAGGTGGTTGAGGTTGCGTAGGAAGTGTATGTTGGGATCGTGTCTTCTGATGCTCTTGAACACGCCTAGTGGAAATTAGAGCGGGTCACAAGGGTATGGTCGTGTTGGGCATACCTGCACGAGTTCAGAGCGCCTTCAGAACAATCAAAGAGAACCCAAGCTTGGCCGACCACCGACGTGGTGTATACATCGATCGGCGGCGCGGCCAGGGGGAAGTGACAAGGACGAGGCCTTCTCAGAAGGCGGTGGGGCCTCTCAGAAGGCCTCCAGCCCTCGGAGAATCTTCCTCTGTCTTCGGGGAAAGCCTCGGAACAACCTCTCAGAAGGCCGGGGGATTCCCGAGCCCTCTCAGAAGGCCCGCCCCTCTCACTTCCATCCCGGGCTGGCCGCCGCTTCCGATCCTTGAACGGCCTCTTGCGCGGGGAGCGACACGTCTTGGGCGGGCTGGCCAACATGGTGACCGCCGCCCCGGGGCCGGCGCGGGTACGCTTCGGCGGCACGCGGCGCTCGACCTCCTCGCGCAGCGCCGCCGCGCGGCCCTCGGCCTCCTCCAGAGACTCCGGCATCAGGCAGCAGTCCGCGCCGTCGTGGTTGCATCGCTTGCGCGAGCGCTTAATGCGCGCCACCTCCCACCTGCTGGCGGCGAGCCCGGGGGAAGCGAGAGGCGGCGGGCCTTTTCAAAGGCTCGGAGGGGCTCCAGCCTTCTGAGAAGTGTTCGAGGTCTTCCCCGAAGACGCAGAAGACTGCTCAGAAGGTGCGAGGGCTGCCGAGAAGCCCCGCTGCCTGGTGAGAAGGCCTGCCTCCTCTCACTTCCCCCGCCCCAGGCTGGCCGCCGAACCTAAACGACGAAAATGAAGGGGTCTTCCGCACGATAACACAGCGGCCTCACGCCACTGCTCACGCGGGCCTCCAGCGTGGCACGCCGCGTGGAAAAAAGAGGGCACTTACGCGCGGCCTTACGCTGGAAACTGACGCGCGAATATCGGCGCAGTCGACGCGGTTTTTGTGCGTCGCTCACCTGCGCTTCGCCCACAGGCCGAAGAACACCTTGTCGCCCATCGCCTTCCGGAGCATGTGCACCCGCATGCCGCTGGGCACCCAGCTGCGCTCCTCGATTGGCCTCTGACTCGGCGGGCGGTCGTGCAGCAGGGGCGCGCTGCTCTTCGCGACGAGCCTCCCGAGCCCCAGGGTGACGGAGCTGCCGTCCCCGGGCACGGTGCCGCCACCATCGAGGACCCTGCGATACTCCCGGACACGGACGGTGCTCTTGAAGGACACAAGCTGCTGTCGCCGCCTCTTCCCAGGCCTCCAGCGGATTGATGTCTCGATCCGTCCGCCAAGGAACTCTTGACCTTTTTGCAGCCTGGATCGTCGACTAACGATCTGCAGGCCGAGAGACCGAGACTGAGGGAAAAGGCGGACATTAACAGAAACGATCCGCCAGAGGCCTGGGTGCCCAGAGATCACTGGAGGGATCGGGAGGTCCCAGCAGAGGCCTCTGAAGGCTCAGCGGCCCCCCAAGGGCCGACAACATCGATCCACGATTCTCCTCGAAACCAGGCGTCCGACGTGGTGAAATCACACACAAACAAATCGTGGAGACTCGCGACCGGAGCACTCGACATATACTCAGCGGGCATTTATCGGCCAGGATCGATGCGTGAAGGCCGCGGGGCTCGAAAGACAGCGACAATGCCCATCGTGATTTTCCGCGACGACCAGCTCTTACGAAGGACGGGAACACGGTATGGCCAGTTATGAAGGGGCCCTGGGACACACAAGTAAATACACACAAATAAAACGATTCCCCATTTGTCCCATATTTTCTTGTTATTATCTTCCCCCCCACTGCCCATATTTTCCCATATTTTCTTGTGGATCGACGATTACTTGTGTCTGTGTGTTTCTTTCCCTCCTGAAGTTAGAAGAGTCGTCTGGATTCTGGTTTCTGCAGCAGTTCATCAATCCCGATGCGGGCACTGGCTGCACAAAGAAGCCATTTCTTCTCAGGGGCGCAAGCAGATTCCTGGACCAACCGCGCCCACATTGTCGTGCAACACCACTCGAGGGGCAACAAACGGCATACGAATACACTTTCGGAGGTCCGCGCCGGGGGCGGCGCCAGGGGCGCCCAGCGCAGATCCAAGAGATCAGCGCGGGCCGCCGACAGATCAGGCTCATGCCGTCGTGTTCCTCTTCGAGCAGTGCCGCACCACGCCGCCAAGGGCCGCGCCACTGGCGCGGCCCATGGCCTGAGGTAGGTGGCGATGTGACCGATAACCAGCCTCGAACATATCCCTGCGCCCTACGCCTAGGATCGGCAAGCCAAAGGCGATGACAGTCTTAGGGATATGCCCTCAGAAACATAAGGAATCCTTAAGATCGGCACCGAGGTAAGGTCAAGCCAGAGATCGGAATCTGTTCCAAGCTGGTATATCCAAACCCTGCCCCACTAATCATCGAGTCTCCCGAATCGATGGGACGCAAGGGGTACGGTTCGCCCTCCGACACGTGCTCGACGGATTCCAAAACCCTCCCCCCGCCGCCCATCGAGCTGCCTGAATCGTGGATCGGCGAGGGTAGGGCGACGAGGCCAAATGCGCTCAAAATTTGTCCCTGGAGCCCTTCCTGGGCCCATCTTTGGCGGCGCGCATTAGGGGGAGGGGGAGGGGGGACAGCTTGTTGGAAGCAGGCTGCTTCTTAAAGGCCGGAGCCTACATCGTGAACCAAGGCCCGCGCCTTCTAAAAAGCAGGGGTGCTTTTAAGGAGCCTCCCCGCCCCTCCCCCTGCCCCCTTTCCACGTGGCCGACGTTCGGCGCAATATTCTTCCCCCCAGACCCGTTTTTGACAGTCCTGGGGCCCAGAAGCGGCCCCCGGAATCTGAAACACCTGAACCTGCTCGCCGAACTTCGGGCGGGTGGCAATGGGGGGGTGACCTACATGGGGGGTGAAGAGAGAAGGGCCCTCTGAAGAGGGCCCTTCCCCCCCGTTGAGGTCACCCCCCCTTGCCACCCGCCTGGGAAATGCTGCCGTTCGCCCTCCTCCGCGGAGACAAAGACCGGGGATGGACAGACCTCACTTTAGTAAAACGTGGTTTAGTGAAAACGACCTGAGGCCCAAACCTGGTGGGCGGAAGCCTGGACAAAAAACGGCCGCGGCGCCCTCTCGAGAACCGAAAACGGACAATTCACTAATCGACGTGTCACTGTTGGGGGTTCTGTCCAGCCCCGAAAAGAGGGGACCGACGAGGACGATCCCGATGGCACGGCCTGGGGCACAGCCGCCGCCACGGCGGCGGCGGCGGCGGCGGGCTGCGCCCCGCGCGCGCGGACCTCCGGCGGAGGATGCCCCGCGGGGCCCCCGCCGCCGCCGCAGCGGGGGCGGGCCCGGCGGCGGCCGCCGCGGCCTGGCCGCGGGGCCACCCAGGATAGGCGACGAGCCCAGGGGGGAAATGAGAAGGAGAAGGCCTTCTCAGAAGGCCGCGGGACTTCTTAGAAGTCCGGGGGGCTTCTGAGACATTTCCTTGGCCTATTTCGAATGCAGACAGAACTTCTCAGAAGCCCTCTCAGAAGTCCAGAAACTTCTCAGAAGCCTCGGAAGTCCCGCCCCTTCTCATTTCCCCCCCGCGCCCGCCACCGACAGGAGGAAGCCGATGCGGGAGGGGCCCAGGGAGACACAGCTGAATACACGCCGGTCGGAAGAAGCGGGTAGAAACATGATGACATCGGAGGGCGTTGGGAGTAAATTGGGCTTCTGCCCGCCCCCTGAGGGGGAGGGAAGGAGCAAACCAGTCGATCCTTGAAGTAGGAAGGCGCCTAAAGCATATTGCGATCTGGGTGTCCAGAAATGCCTACTTTCAACGACCGGCGTGCACAGTCGACCCGTATCACAACGACACACGAGGAGGATGCAAGGGCCTGCGAAGGCCGTTTCGAGGCTTCTGGAGCGGGGCGCGGCCCACGAAAGTGGCCAAGGATGGACTGGACCGAAGAGGCAAGGATGCAAGGGTACCCTTGGAAAGGTTGCCCATCCTTACCATGTGCGTTGACTGTAGAACCAAATTCCAGGACCGCCACTCTGTTTCGATGGTTTGCGGCTATTCCTCTGCCCCTGCATGTCCCATAGTTTCCCAAGGCTCTGGCGTTTGTTTCTGTCCGCTCCTACTTTTCCACTCAGGCGCGCAGTGAGGAAATCGCGACGGAGAGGCCTTGATAATATTTGGCCCCTCGGGACCCTCGACAGGCCCGACGAACAAAAACAATTGGAGAAGAACAAACACAGATCGAGGCCGTCAAACAACAACTCGAGCCCGTCAAAACAATCCCATGAAAAAACAACTCGGGACTATGAACAACAACTCGAGGCAAAATACCGGTCCCTGGGAAGGGGTTCAGACCTTTGGGGATCCACGACATGAACAAAAAATATAACGTCGGGGGTCTGTGCATGAAAGAACTCAGACCGTCCGCTGGAGACACCCAACATAGAACCAAGAGAAGGTGGGATCGGAGGGTCGCACCGCATCGCCGATGCACAGGCGACGCCAGGACGGAAAGCACCACACTCTGGATCGTGCCACCAACGCCTCGGACCTTCCTGGGCCGTTTTTCGGCCCCTCGGGGCCCTTCCCGGGCCGTCAACCAAACAACTTGGGATGAAAAGCCAGTCCAAGGGGAAAGCCGAGGCCTAGGATCCATTCCCCCCAGGACTCAGGATCCCATCCCCAAATAACAGCAAGGGGGAGGTGAGTTAAGAGGAGGCAGCGGCTACGGTTCAGCAAGGCGCCGAAGACGGTCGGAAATTCAGACAACTAGCATTAAACTTATTATGTGCAGGTGTAGTTCTATATGTGTATGCAGACTTTTATATACATACGCACATCTGCATATGTATATATATATATATGTGTATGTGTGTGTGTGTTTGTGTGTGTGTCGGTGTCAGTGTCTGTGGCTGTGTCTGTGTAGATGTGTGACCGCTACTGGGAGCTGAGATAAGCGACGACGATTCGAGGACCGTGTCCGCCAGGGAAAAGGGGCGAGTTCTCCTCGCTCGATAGCGGGAGTCGAATCATGGTGCTACCACGCTGAACACTAGAAACAACATAGAACGGCTTTTCTGGCAATGCGAGCCTCGGTCACGAAGAGGTTGCCCGACCAATATCCATGGAGTGGCCCGAAAGACGGAGCCTCTCCCGAGCCGAAAGCGGTCCATAATCTCGTCGTCGAGACTGTGGGAGGAAGAAGAGCAGCAACAGTGGGAGGAGAGCGGGAGGACCTCTGGAGGGGGGCTTGCCCCCCCCGCTGCGCAGCCCTGCGGCTGAACTGGCGAGACACTCGCCGGCGCGACGGTGGCCCCCATGGCGGCCGCACGGGGCTTCTCTGTGCGCCGCGCCCGGGCGGACAATGCTGCCTGAGCCAATCGGCAACGCACATAGCCTGACGGAAGACGGCAGCCCCCCGATAGTGGCGGCAGATCGCGCTGCAACATCTGGACAACACGGGGCCGAGGCAAGGAGCGGTGATCTCGACGGCAACGAGCCTGACCACTTCTTCGGAGAAAGCTTCCTGGCCAATGCTGTGGGGGGCCTTGCGATGGATGCACTACTTCAACCGTTTCATCCCCCTATTGTTCACTTCTCTCCGGTCAGCACATCATGTGCATTCATGTCCAGACCGTTCCACTCCAGCACTAGAACTACGATGAGGAGCTTCTGCTGAGCTTGACGCGGCGGCGGCCCCAGCCGCACGCTACGTCTTGCAACGGGATAGCAGTGTCGCTCCTTTTCCGCGGGGCGGGAGGCAGGGAAACGGCTCGGGACATTCACTGGATTAACTGCTGCTGAAGTCCAGAGCTCTATGAACTCAATGGCTTCACAAATCGACTTCGGACCCCCGTTCGAAGAGACAAACTACAGGCGGTGCCGCTAGGCCCTTTATACTGTATCTTGCTACAGCTCCAGGCCCCCGTCTGGATATCGGCCCGTCAAGGCGGTCGCAGCCCTGCCAGAGCCGATGAGGTCCGCTGGAGTTGCTGCATGGCCACGCCGTGGCGACCAGACACTCCGAAAACCGCCCCCGCTGGGGACTGGGAAGTGGACAGCGTGTCGCGACGAGCAATGATGGGCCAGAGCCAGCGGCGCAGCACGTTCACACGTGCTTCATTTGCATGTTCCATGTCACCCCTCCTCTCCGCAAGTTCAGCACGCGCCCCCCAGGGCTGACCGGGCTCTGGCGGGGGCACGGCCTTCTCGGAGCATGCGGCCCGATGCTCCGAAATGGCCAGGCGAGAAGCACGAGCGTGCGAACACCCCCGCCTGGCAGCTGCAGGCGCACGGCGTGGGGCAGCAGGGTGCCATGCAGCAGTTGGCGCTCCCTGGCCTCTGCAGCTTTCGGCTATTGCTAGCAGTGGTCCTGGCCCGAGGTGTCCCCCGCTGTTCGCCTCACTCTGGAAACCCCGATGTCCCTCTGGTCGGGGGTTGCTAGCCAGTGCCCCTGGCCCAAGGTGCCCCCAGCGTTTCGCTCTCCTTGGGAGCCCCTGGGGCCTCCGGGGCCTCGCGCGGGGGCTCCTTCGAAATCCTGGGGGCACTGCTAGCAGTACCCGGTCTGGGCCTCGCGAGGGGTGCTCCGGAGGCCATCTGGGCCTCCCCGGAAAAACCCCGCCTGGAGCCTGGACGCGCCGCCACCGCATCACGAGAAGACAGCGCCAGAACTGCGGCCTGCGGTCAGACCCCTTAGGATCTGCAGGGCCGCTGTGATCCGTCCAGCCTCCCCCTCTCTGGAGGAGGACCTCTCGGCCTCCTCCCTTCCTCTCCCCCCGCGGCCTCCTCTTCTCACACCCTCTGCCATCCTTCCCACAAGAGCCCCCTTCCGCCCAGCGCCGGCGGAGGCCTCTGGCGATTTTCCCTGCGTTCTTACTAGGAAGCGGCTTCCCCCCGTCATCATGTTCCACCCCGTGCTCCTCCTCGTGCTCGTGCCCAACTTCTCTCCCAAGCCCGGGCCAACCTGGTCCCCGCAGGGAGCCCGCCTCCGGGGCCGTCGACCACTTCCCCGCGCCCCTGCGAAACCACGTTTTTCCGTCCCCAGTCGTGCTTAGAAGCGGCATCACGGCGGCGACGATTGTGAGGAACACCCGCCGCCATGATTTCGACGGGACTCCCTCCGGCGGCCCGCACACGGGGGCGGCGCAAACGAGGGCAGCCTGATCAGAAGGCGGGGGGTGTCTGAAAAGGCTGGCCACCTTCTTTGATAACCCTCCCGATCTTGAAGGAAGGAGCCCCCCAAGGCCCTGCCGAGAAGGCCCCCGCCCCTCTTGCCCCTCTGAGGAGACCACCCCCGTCTCGCCACCGCCTGGGGCGCGCTGGCAGGAAGGAAGCGGTTTCCCTGGGGCCTGCCACCAAGCACCCCATTTTCTCCCGAAAATGTTCACCCAATCCCGGGGCCCGTGGCGGGGCCCAGGGAAGCCAGAAACGAGGGACAACAACTCAGGACCTGTTTGCCTCAGGACCCGCTTCTTTCACGGCGTGCGCGCCGCCACGGAGGAGGCGGCTGCGAGACAGTCTCTCCTCCTTCCGCTCGTAATTCGAACCTGGCCTGCATCACTTCAGGCATCGCACTTTCCCATGGACGATTCGGCAATCACGCAACCTCCAGGCTGTACTCCGTGACATGTTCATGTCGCCGTTGCAGAAAATCATTGGTAAGTTGGCGGCGCGCAGAAGGGGGTATGGAGGAGGGGGGAAAGCTCCTTAGAGACAGACTCTCCCCTATCCGCTTGCCAGCGTAGCCGATACGTGTCGTTGCTCGAACACAGAATTAGCCTGGCGAAGGACCCAACCATATGCAGTTGTGAGTCATGCTGGTGTGAGTACCGTCTTCGGTGGATCTCCCAATGGGGCCACGAACCGTTTGAGGGATGTGCCGAAATGGGTGTGGGGGCGGCATGCGAACGTTGCCACTGGGGCCTTCGGTGAAGCTCCTCATGGGGCCACGAAACGTGTGAGGGGTGCACCGAAGTTGGTGTGGGGGCGGCATGCGAACGCAGCCACTGTGGCCTTCGGTGGAGCTCCCTCTGGGGCCACGAAACGTGTGAGGAGTGTGCCGAAATGGGTGTGGGGGCGGCATGCGAACGCAGCCACTGGGGCCTTCGGTGGAGCTCCCTATGGTGCCACGAAACGTGTGAGGGGTGTGCCGAAATGGGGGTGGGGGCGCATGCGAACCCAGTCACTGGGGCCTTCAGTGGAAATCCCCATGGCGCCACGAAACGTGTGAGGGATGTGCCGACATGGGTGTTGGGGAGGCATACGAACCAGGCCACTGGGGCCTTCGGTGGAGCTCCCTGTGGGGCCACGAAACGTGTAAGGGGTTTGCCGAAATGGGTGGTGGGGAGGCATGCGGGCCCTGCCACTGGGGCCTTCGGTGGAGCTCCCTATGGTGCCACGAAACGTGCGAGGGGTGTGCCGAAATGGGTGGTGGGGAGGCATGCGAACCCTGCCGCTGGGGCCTTCGGTGGAGCTCCCTATGGGGCCACGAAACGTGTGAGAGGTGTGCCGAAATGGGTGGTGGGGAGGCATGCGGACCATGCCACTGGGGCCTTCGGTGGAGCTCCCTATGGGGCCACGAAACGTGTGAGGGGTGTGCCGAAATGGGTGGTGGGGAGGCATGCGAACCCTGCCACTGGGGCCTTCGGTGGAGCTCCCTATGGGGCCACGAAACGTGTGAGGGGTGTGCCGAAATGGGTGGTGGGGAGGCATGCGAACCCTGCCACTGGGGCCTTCGGTGGAGCTCCCTATGGGGCCACGAAACGTGTGAGGGGTGTGCCGAAATGGGTGGTGGGGAGGCATGCGGACCCTGCCACTGGGGCCTTCGGTGGAGCTCCCTATGGGGCCACGAAACGTGTGAGGGGTGTGCCGAAATGGGTGGTGGGGAGGCATGCAGACCCTGCCACTGGGGCCTTCGGTGGAGCTCCCTATGGGGCCACGCAGCGTGTGAGGGGTGTGCCGAAATGGGTGGTGGGGAGGTATGCGGAGAACTGGGGCCTTCGGTGGAACTCCCTATGGGGCCACGAAACGTGTGAGCGGTGTGCCGAAATAGGTGGTGGGGAGGCATGCGGACCCTGCCACTGGGGCCTTCGTGGAGCTCCCTATGGGGCCACGAAGCGTGTGAGAGGTGTGCCGACATGGGTGGTGGGGAGGCATGCGGACCCTGCCACTGGGGCCTTCGGTGGAGCTCCCTATGGAGCCACGAAACGTGTGAGGGGTGTGCCGAAATCGGTGGTGATGACGATGATGATGATGATGATGATGATGATGATGATGATGATGATGATGATGA